ACGCAAGCTAATCAGTCTTCTAGAACACTGTAGGCCACACTAAAAGTGTGGTCTTCTGCAGCATCAGACACAGCATGCTGTTGGAGCGCACGTAGACGCTGGTGCAGTGTGAGACATATGTAAACATGGTGGGGCGTTTTGTTCCTGGGTTTGTTGTGGTGAGGGGGAAATATGTCTATATTGTGAAGGGGCTATCCTCTGTCATCTTTGCAAACAGGTTGAACTTTAGACTTTAACAACTCTCTAAAACAATGATTGTTAGTTTAAGTCATAATTTCTAGATTAAATAAATGATAAGAACAAATTGTTCCTATAAAAAAATGGCATCCTTAGTCCTCTTAGCTAGGATTATCATAAGGATAGGATCTCTATACATCCATGGACTTCTCATTCAATACAGCCTTGAAGCAAGGCTAGTTGAACTTGTGTGTTGTGTTTGGCTGATGCTGTCTTGTCAAAATGTTGGTCAACTGGTCACAGGTTTGTAAGGATGTTAACAAGGGTTGTTTTATATGTTTAGTTGTAACACCATCTAGGCTTTATGCCAGTCTCATTTCGCTTATGGGTGATGATATTTGGATGTTGACATAATGAACATTATCTAGACTGTACACAAATCTCATTTACTTGGTTTATACATGATGCTAAGTAGGTATTGAACATCATATAGATTAATGACTTGTACAATTGAATTAATCCTTTTTTGATTGGACTGTTGTTGTAGATTGGATGAGATAAGCATGGTTTTCATCAAGATAGGGAGGGTATCCTTGCTGTTCAGTTTAACATTTTGTTTAATACATTGTCTTCCTTCTGTAATTTATTAAAAAAAATTGGCATTTCACATATGCAGTTCAAATGTGTTGATAGTTTTACAACTTTGTCATGATTATTTTAGTTAAAATAAGACAAAAATCCAAACAATATTCAGACTATTCTCTATGTTGAAGTGCGTCTAGTCTCTATGTCAAAGTGCATCTAGTTCCTATATTGAAGTACAGCTAGTCTCTATGTTGAAGTACAGCTAGCCTCTATGTTGAAGTGCAGCTAGTCTCTATGTTGAAGTGCAGCTAGTGTCTGTGTTGAAGTGCAGCTAGTTCCTATGTTGAACTTGAAGTGCAACTAGTCTCTATGTTGAAGAGCATCTAGTCTCTATGTTGAAGTGCAGCTAGTCTCTATATTGAAGTGCAGCTAGTCTCTGTGTTGAAGTGCAGCTAGTCTCTATGTTGAAGTGCAGCTAGTCTCTATGTTGAAGTGCAGCTAGTCTCTATATTGAAGTGCAGCTAGTCTCTATATTGAAGTGCAGCTAGTCTTTATGTTGAAGTGCAGCTAGTCTCTATGTTGAAGTACAGTCAGTCTCTATGTTGAAGTGCTGCTAGTCTCTATGTTGAAGTACAGCTAGCCTCTATATTGAAGTGCAGCTAGTCTCAATTTTGAAGTGCAGATAGTTCCTATGTTGAAGTGCAGCTAGTCTCCATGTTGAAGTACAGCTAGTCTCTATATTGAAGTGCAGCTAGTCTCTATGTTGAAGTACAGCTAGTCTCTATATTGAAGTGAAGCTTGTCTCCATGTTGAAGTACAGCTAGTCTCTATATTGAAGTGCAGCTAGTGTCTATATTGAAGTGCAGATAGTTCCTATGTTGAAGTGCAGCTAGTGTCTATATTGAAGTGCAGATAGTTCCTATGTTGAAGTGAAGCTAGTCTCCATGTTGAAGTACAGCTAGTCTCTATATTGAAGTGAAGCTAGTCTCCATGTTGAAGTACAGCTAGTCTCTATGTTGAAGTGAAGCTAGTCTCCATGTTGAAGTACAGCTAGTCTCTATGTTGAAGTGCAGTTAGTTCCTATGTTGAAGTGCAACTAGTATCTATGTAGAAGTGCAGCTACTCTCTATATCGAAGTGCAGCTAGTTCCTATGTTGAAGTGCAACTATTCTCTATGTTGAAGTGCAACTAGTCTCTATGTTGAAGTGCAGCTAGTTCCTATGTTGAAGTGCAACTAGTCTCTATGTTGAAGTGCAACTAGTCTCTATGTTGAAGTGCAGCTAGCCTATATGTTGAAGTACAGCTAGTCTCTATGTTGAAGTGCAGCTAGCCTATATGTTGAAGTACAGCTAGTCTCTTTTTTGAAATGTAATCTTTTGTTCCATGTGTCAGAAGCAGGGTTGTTTTGCTCCAGATATTATGATCACTTAGACAGCTGAATCAGGTCATAATAAAGTCATGTCTTGTCTTGTCTGTTTTCAAACTGATAAAAACAGCTTTGAATGAGACAGGAGTAGCTTTCACTACTCAAGGACAACTACAATCCAACATGCATTTAACCTCTTGTAATCTTATGTATCATTATCATGATTATATGCTTCAAGATAATGGCAGTATTTTCTGGTGTTTTTTTCTTTAAATTGCCTGTTTAAGTACAGATTGATTTTAATGTTGAGTATCTATTTGTGGTAGTAACATTATTGATTTTTCTTTTACAGTGACTGATGTGTTCAAACATCGGGAAGGTGAAAATGTGTGTGTCATGTGTTTGGTTGCGTAAAATTGATATAAATCAACAAGGGCTGTTAATTTTAATTGACAAATATGATAAATCTCTGGATTTGATATTTATTTTGGATATATACATATATAAGTATTTGTCATGCACATGAAAGGCAAACTATCTCATGTTAACAGCAATGTTCCCATTCCCAATTGAAGTCTTCCCATTGTAATTAGTGCCCTGTTGAACTGATGCATGATTGGGCGTCTCGCTCGGGTTTCATGCTCTGCTAGATTGACAAAATGCGAGAAAAACAAACAGATTTGTGAATTACTTCAAATGGATTTCATATAATGGGCAATTAACCCAAGCCTATTTTATATAGAGTATTCTCCTTTCAGGTAGATATTGACAGTAGCAGGAAGCTGCTATTGTTAAACATAACTGCCACGACATTGTCACAGTACAGTTATCATTTATTGCAGTAGTGCAAGCAATTTCAGGCTGTGGGCTTATTTGACTGAGTAATAACAAAAATCATACTGTATTTAAACTTAAAAATTATACAAGATGAAGTTTGCCTCATTTGGGAAGTCAGGTGCCATTTTGAATGGGTTTTCGCCAGTCATCTGCTCAACAGTTTATGGTACAGCAGCAAGCAGATCTACAGCTCATCTCTACTTTCAAAGAACTGACAAAGGTGATAACAACTGAAATAAGTATACTGTTAAGTAAATTATTCATATTGTAACTATCAACACATTGATTTTGCCTCCCAGCTTCCCATGCTCTTAGTTGTGTAGCAACACTTACATGGCTGCCTATTCACATGTCCCTGCTAATGTTTATCAGAATTATTCATTAGTCTAAGTGGAAATATAGGGCTGATTGTCTTTATAAACACTTATGTTCTCAAATGTGTCTTTATTACATCTACTAATGACAAGAATACTGACATGAGTATTTTTGATGGAATAATTTATGAAAAAAAGCAGTTTGAATAATCTTACCTTCATGTCCCGATTCTATTGTATGCCGGGGCGGTCGGGTAGCCTAGTGGTGAAAGCGTTTGCTCGTCATGCCGAAGACTCGGGTTCGATTCCTGACATGGGTACAATGTGTGAAGCCCATTTCTGGTGTCCCCCGCCGTGATATTGCTGAAATATTGCTAAAAACGGCATAAAAACCATACTCACTTCTGAAGTCTCCTCATCTCCTTATAATAGAAGATGACAACTGAAACAGTATGGATAACAGCTTGGTTTTTATTTGTAACAACCTTTCAGGGCTACTTCTGGCCTCTTTCACAATGTGAATGTAGTTCTAAGGTGATTATAAATCCCATGCTTTAACACATCTCCCCGAGGCACACACTCACTCTATTGTATACCACCAAAATATCTTTATCTTAATCATGTTAATGATGATTAAAAAAGAATGATGTTATTTTTATTCTGTGTGGATAAGTATATAATCATTTACACATGACATTACAAATACTGTGTATTCTTGAATATGTGCTTAAGTAAGCAATGCTTGGTAACCTGATGAAGGAATACACATCTGTCTTGAATAAAAAAGAATTGTCCCAAAATTTATCTTTTCTCTTAAAACATCTGAAACACCAAGAAGGGTAATTTTAAACAGATTATTAAAAGGACATTGCAAAACAAACAGCTCTTCTTCAGGGTTTTACGGTAGTCATTATAGACTTATATTATCTACCTTGTGACCATTGTGTAATAAACACAATTAACCATCTGTTGAGTTTGTGTCATTGTTGCAATATGCGGTGCATCAATCTCATGTCACTCATTGTATTAACAGGGTGTTATATATGCATGCGTTGTACAACCAGATGATGCTATTGTATATATAGGAGTAATATAGCTCACGTTGCGTAACCAGGGATGAACATCCTTATAACAAACTGATGGAGATAACAAACTGTTTTTTGGGTCCCGTCTGGTAACAAACTGCGGTTATAATAAACTATAGTTAGTGGCCCCTTCGAGTTCGTTATTACCATATTTTACTGTATTCTTAAATCTAGTAATAAACACATCACATGTGTAACTGTGTAATACACATTAATTATACCATATTAAGACAAAAGTTTGAACCTATTTTGCAATGCTAGGAAAAGGGCATTGTGTAGCATGCATAAACCAGGTATACACATGTTTTATATCAGGTGATAAACATTTTTATATGCAGTGTAAGATACATGTTTTATTGCAGCAGTAATAGAGACCTTGTATAACTTGATAGTATTATTCAAGGTTATCATGGTAATCAATTTCTGAATGATTTTACTTTCAGTGGAAAGTCGCACATGGGCTGTGTGATGAATTAGGTTACAGATGTATGGTGTATATTTTGAGCACTGGTTGAAATGTCAGTTACATAATTTGTCTGGCCTTGTAAATACAGACATAACAGGCAATGACATTTGTCCTTCGTGACCTAGTTTTTGACACAGTCCACAGTGTGATCAGTTCGGGGTTGTCCTCCGATATGTGATAGAAATACAGCCTTAGCTGATTGGTCAACACAATCTTCCAGGAAGTATTTCCACGCTGTAGAGGTGGGCCTAGTTTCAAGGAATTCTGTGTGGAGCTACACAACCTCTGTCCTTTCAGAAGGGACTGTATAGTGACTGGCTGTTATGTTATGCAGGTAGGCATGGAGACAGGATATGTAGCAACATGTTTGCCGTAGCTATCGAGAGCAGCAGCAGCGTGTGTATGTGTGTGTGTGTGTGTGGATGTTTGGATCGTGGACGGCCCTGTCTCTGCTTTCAATGATAGAGTGTGCAATGAAACATTCAACACATGCTTATTCTAAAGTGGGGATTTAGAAGTTGAGGTCGAGTTAAATTTGAAGCGGTTGACAGGTCACATCCTGTCTGTTTATGTTTTGACGAGACATTGGTTTTTGTTGTGAGCTTCAGGTAATTCAGTAAGCAGATTTTAGAGAGATGAGGGTTACGACACAGCAAATGTGCATTAATTGAAAACATAAGTGCACATTTTGAACGAAGTTTTGTGTAACATTAAATGTTAATAGTATTGATAGTATTTATTTATTTTGTTGTTTAACATGTTTAAGAAGCAAGTTTAGTGAAAAATGTATATTAAAAAAATATTACCATGAAAAATGAAAAGAGATACCCATGGTTATTTGTGTAATTTGGAGAATCTGTGGTTATTAATGTGATTGTGTGACTACCATTATTGACCCGACGGGTGTTCCAAGACTAGTACATTCTCAAATCGAGTGTTGTGAGATAAAATTACAAGTGCCTGCTTCTTGATCACTCTCAACTCTGCTCTTACTACTACGTATAGATGTCAGGTATTACAAGCTCAAGTCGAAGTGAGGCACACACATTTGGTTAAATGAGTATGTGTATATACCAGTAATAATAGTGGAGTATTTGAAAGTCTTTTACGTCCTCACTGAAGTACCACAAAAGGCTGAAGTCATCAAATTACCCACGCCTTCACAAGCTTTGTCTTGTAACTAAGTTAGGATACTGTCTAGGAAACTCCCCACATCTTCCTTAAATTTGACTGGTAACTTAATCAAGCACCCAGGGCCCGATCCACACTGGTTTTGTAGCACTCCGTCATTCGTAAGCCTGTGATAATCTCTCCAGTTACGATAGGTGGTAATGCTTCTCTTATATCATTATATTATACCTTCATATACTGCAGGTATCCAGCTACTAGTATCCGCTCAAATGCGGTTTTATTTGCTCCCCAACCAGTGGATCTGTGTGCATTCTAGATAATATTCTCAACTCCCTAGGGAGTATACAACCCAAGCTGCTGAAGGTTTTGTGGATGGGAACCAGTTGGAAAGGTCCCAGGCAACCAATGGCTTGTTATGGACATGATAGAGATGACTCAATTGGCACATATTTCCATGTTTGGGATGCTACTAATAACATCAATCACAGGTTTGTCTGGTTCAGGAAGCCCATTTCCGGTGTCCCCCACCGTAATATTGCTTCAATATTGCTAAAAGCACGTAAAACCATACTCACTCACTCACTCTTGCATCAGGGACAGTCCACTGGGGACCTCTGTAGTAGTGACAGCTGTTTGCAGAACCTGTCAGTATCACACCAAAATTGCATGCAGATAACGGCACAAGATTCTCATTGGGGGAATGTGGCTCTGATTTTATTATTAGAAAACAGCTGGAAAACAAACAATAATTGTTATTCACCTGATACATGTGTTTCATAAGAACAAACACCCATTTTTGAATGACCAATATTTTCTTTATTTCATTTATTTCTACCATGGGTAACAACTTCTTTATTATTTGTAGTGACGATTCAGGGCTACTTCAGGCCCTTCAGTATTCGCTATGGCCCTGTTCCACTGAGCCATCATTGTGCTACGACTGTCATAGGTCAATGTTAAAGCCATCTTCCGGAGGCACATATCGATAGTCCAATCAGAGAACGTTTCACAAAATCAACATCCACGGCTGGTACACCTTACTATGAAAGTGATTTACCACTGCCTGTCTTCGTTGACACAAATATGTTTTTTCATCTTTAAAACCCCCAAACGATTGCCTATGATTTTGTGTCAGGGATATTTTCTTTTTTGATTGACCAGGTCGTCGCCTGTGGTAGTCGCCATCTATGTGAAGCTATACGAGATATGTTGTTTTCATTACAAGGGGCACAACTCGCCAGGGTCAAGCCAGAAAAAGTGTCCTTCATGTGGCAAAGGTTAAAATTAGGCTTTGATATAGGCCAGTGGACACGCCTGCCTCGGGGAGATGTGTTAAAGCATGGGATTTATAATCATCTTAGAACTACATTTGCATTGTGAAAGAGGCCAGAAGTAGCCCTGAAAGGTTGTTACAAATAAAAACCAAGCTGTTATCCATACTATACTATTACAATAGTTAATCTCTCATGCCATGACAGATTAACATTACCAATAAGAAAGAATCGGGTGATCCTGATCTTCATCTTCTATTATTAGGAGATGAGGAGACTTCAGAAATGAGTATGGTTTTTACACCGCTTTTAGCAATATTCCAGCAATATCACGGCGGGGGACACCAGAAATGGGCTTTACAGATTGTACCCATGTTGGGAATCAAACCCGGTTCTTCCGCTTGATGTTCGAACGCTTTAACCACTACGTTACCCGACCGCCACCTTTAGAAATGAAGAGTTACTTCTGATGTATATATACGAGTAGCTTGATGTGAGCTGTTGTCTGATGCCAGAGCATGCATTTGAGCGTGGGTTCCCATGGGAGAGGTTCATTGTTGGGGCTGTGAAATCTGTCAGCAGTGTGCAGGAACATGATGAGAAGTGACCACATGGACAGAATATTTCCAGCAAATCCAGGTACCCGGGGAACTCATTAACATTTCTAGGTGTACTAGGGACAGCTTTTTAATTATTTTGGTGAATTGTATGCAATACCTCCCCATGTCGAAGCCTGAAACTGTATCAATCTTCTGGATTGTTGTTTACTGTTGGGGAAAGGATTGGGGGGGTGTTTGCAGGTCCTGGATACTGCTGAGCAAAATAGATGCCTGTTTGTATGTTGGTAGCCTCTCTCACATGCCCCAGTGCATGTATATAATAAAACTTAACCCCAATTGACCCCAAACATCCGGGGTAGAATAGGTCTTCAGCAACCCATGCTTGCCGTAAAAGGCAATTATGCTTGTCGTAAGAGGCGACTAACGAGATTGGGTGGTCAGCCTCGCTGACTTGGTTGGTGCATGTCATCACATACAATTGCGTGGATCGATGCTCATGATGTCAATCACTGGATTGTCTGGTCCGGACTCGATTATTTACAGACTGCCATCATATAGCTGGAATATTGCTGAGTACAGCGTTAACTACAATCAATCAATTAATCACCCCATTCCACCCTTGTCCCTTCTCAGCTCTAGCAGCCTGTACCTTCCTATTCTCAGCTCTAGCAGCCTGTACCTTCCTATTCTCAGCTCTAGCAGCCTGTACCTTCCTATTCTCAGCTCTAGCAGCCTGTACCCTTCCTATTCTCAGCTCTAGCAGCCTGTACCCTTCTTATTCTCAGCTATAGCAGCCTCTACCCTTCCTTTTCTCAGCTCTAGCATCCTCTATCTGTCCTATTCTCAGCTCTAGCAGCCTCTACCCTTCCTATTCTCAACTCTAGCAGCCTGTACCTTCCTATTCTCAGCTCTAGCAGCCTGTACCTTCCTATTCTCAGCTCTAGCAGCCTGTACCTTCCTATTCTCAGCTCTAGCAGCCTGTACCTTCCTATTCTCAGCTATAGCAGCCTCTACCCTTCCTATTCTCAGCTCTAGCAGCCTGTACCTTCCTATTCTCAGCTCTAGCAGCCTGTACTCTTCCCTTTCTCAGCTCTAGCAGCCTGTACCCTTCCTATTCTCAGCTCTAGCAGCCTGTACCCTTCCTATTCTCAGCTCTAGCAGCCTGTACCCTTCTTATTCTCAGCTATAGCAGCCTCTACCCTTCCTTTTCTCAGCTCTAGCATCCTCTATCTGTCCTATTCTCAGCTCTAGCAGCCTCTACCCTTCCTATTCTCAACTCTAGCAGCCTGTACCTTCCTATTCTCAGCTCTAGCAGCCTGTACCTTCCTATTCTCAGCTCTAGCAGCCTGTACCCTTCCTATTCTCAGCTCTAGCAGCCTGTACCCTTCCTATTCTCAGCTCTAGCAGCCTGTACCTTCCTATTCTCAGCTCTAGCAGCCTGTACCCTTCCTATTCTCAGCTCTAGCAGCCTGTACCTTCCTATTCTCAGCTATAGCAGCCTCTACCCTTCCTTTTCTCAGCTCTAGCAGCCTCTATCTGTCCTATTCTCAGCTCTAGCAGCCTCTACCCTTCCTATTCTCAACTCTAGCAGCCTGTACCTTCCTATTCTCAGCTCTAGCAGCCTGTACCTTCCTATTCTCAGCTCTAGCAACCTCTACCCTTCCTATTCTCAGCTCTAGCAGCCTGTACCCTTCTTATTCTCAGCTCTAGCAGCCTCTACCCTTCCTATTCTCAGCTCTAGCAGCCTGTACTCTTCCCTTTCTCAACTCTAGCAGCCTGTACCTTCCTATTCTCAGCTCTAGCAGCCTGTACCCTTCCTATTCTCAGCTCTAGCAACCTCTACCCTTCCTATTCTCAGCTCTAGCAGCCTGTACCCTTCTTATTCTCAGCTCTAGCAGCCTCTACCCTTCCTATTCTCAGCTCTAGCAGCCTCTACCCTTCCTATTCTCAACTCTAGCAGCCTGTACCTTCCTATTCTCAGCTCTAGCAGCCTGTACCTTCCTATTCTCAGCTCTAGCAGCCTGTACCCTTCCTATTCTCAGCTCTAGCAGCCTCTACCCTTCCTATTCTCAGCTCTAGCAGCCTGTACCTTCCTATTCTCAGCTCTAGCAGCCTGTACTCTTCCCTTTCTCAGCTCTAGCAGCCTGTACCTTCCCTTTCTCAGCTCTAGCAGCCTGTACCTTCCCTTTCTCAGCTCTAGCAGCCTGTACTCTTCCCTTCCTATTCTCAGCTCTAGCAGCCTGTACCCTTCTTATTCTCAGCTATAGCAGCCTGTACCCTTCCTATTCTCAGCTATAGCAACCTCTACCCTTCCTATTCTCAGCTCTAGCAGCCTGTACCCTTCTTATTCTCAGCTATAGCAGCCTGTACCC